CTTGGTGACTGAGTTGCAAAGAATGTAGAGATGGCAATTATTCTAAAATAAAGCATCATGATGTTTCATCTATTTTGCCATTTTTAAGGTCAGTTTAAAAATCAGATCTTGTAACAGTTCTGCAAGTAGGCCCATAATTTGGGCAACAAACATAGAAAGAAGACTATGGGAAATGGTGTTTAACCTCTATAATTATTTTTGAGAAATTTCAATTATTTGTACAGCATTATTAATAACAGGTGAACATAAGGCCTCAGATTGATAATACTTTGTTGTCATTCATCTGTATGTCATTAAGAGCTGAAAGCAATCTTATAGCGTTAAGATACACTGTCCAAAACTTTTGTTTTAGAGAAAAAGAAAAATGGGGTCTAGACACACCAAAGCTCAGAGCCTCAAAGATGAACTGGATGAACCACTATAGGAACTGGGGATGTTTATAGTTTAGAAAGGTTTATACTTTAAAAGGGAATATAGTGGCTATTTCAAGTTTTTGAAGAGATGCCATATGAAAGAGAAAAACGCCAGTTCAAGGTTTTAAAGGAGAAGTATTATAATTAAAAGAAAATATATACATAAGATTTTTGTTCTTTTTTCCCCACAATCTTGGAATGGAGAAGAGCTTTGTAAAGAAGACATAAAATTAAACCCAGAAACCAGAAGAAAAAAAGGTTGGTAAGCATAAATATATAAAAGTAAAACAAATTATAAAACAAAAAAATTTATTGACCAAGTTAAAATAACATTAGAAAAAATAGACTAGGCATTCTACAAAAAAAAAGGCAAGTTCACAAAATAAGAAATACAAATGGCTTAAAAAATTAATACTTGAAAAGATGCTCAATCTTAATCATATTTACATATATTTTTTGTAATCTTCACTGGAGAACATGCTTGTATTGAGACTTTAGAGAGAGGAAGGGAGAAGGAGAGAGAGAGGAAAACATCGATGTGAGAAGTGAAACATCAAATGGCCACCTCCTGCACACACCCCAACCAGGAATCAAACCTGAAACCTGGGTATATGTCCATTGGGAATCGAACTCTCGACCCTTTGGTGCATGGGATGATACTCCAACCAATTGACCCACACCAACCAGGGCTTACTCATATTTAAAGATGTAAATGAAAAATAACAAAACAGGACATTTTTACCTACAGAATGATAAAAATGTATTTTTTTTCCAATTACTTACATAATGTTGGGTGGGAGAGGGATGAAAGAAAAGTACCTTCTTAAAAATGATGCCAAATGTTCCCCGTTTATAAATATGGGAAAAATAAATATTGTACCACTTCATACTCTAGTAGAAGAATCTCTTTAGAGAGTCTCAAAATTAAAATTGGCAACATGTTCTGTGGTAGTCATGAGCTTCACCAAATATTTTTGGGTCTCTGCCTTCTAGGTATAGTAATTCCCCCTAATCTGCAGTTTCACTTTCAGTTATCCTTGGTCAACAATGGCCTGAAAATATTAAATCATAAATTCCAGAAGTGAACAGTTCATAAGTTTTAAATTGCACACTGTTCTGAGTAGCATGATGAAATCTTGCGCCATCCATGCCATGACCTCCCCACTCCCAACCTTGTTAATCACTTTTTGGTTATCAGATAAACTGTAGCATCTCAGTGCTTGTGTTCAAATAACCCTCATTTTACTTACTAATTCCCATAGCACAGGAGTGGTGATGCTGGCCATTCAGATACATTCATATGTTCCAAAGAGAAGCCATAATTGAAAAGGTGAGTACAGTAAATAAGATATTGAGAGAGAGAGGAAGAGAGACCAAGACCACATTCATATAATTTTCATTGCAGTATGTTGCTAATATTTCTCATCTATAATAATAAAAGCATAATATGCTAATTAGATGGGACAGCCAAACGACCTCCCGGACGTAGCCGTGGCTGCGAGGGCCAAACCCCTTGCACGAATTTTGTGCATTGGACCTCTAGTTTTATTGAAAATGTTGTTAATCACTTATTCTGCCTAACTTATAAGTTTAACTTTGTCTTGGAAACCGAGGGACCGAGTTTCCCTCATACTGGGTCCCTGAGTGAGGATGATAAAGAACAGAGCCCACCAGCTAATCTATAATGGCAAGTGAGCTAGAAACAAACCTTTGTTGTTTTGAAGACACAGTTTGTCAATGCAGCATAACCAAGCCTAAATGATATATCTATCAAAAGAAAAAATACATATATCCTGTGACATAGCAGTTCCACTATGAGTAATATCTTCAGCCAACATACTTGGACAAGAACACAAATATGTATATATGGAATTTTTACTGCAGCAGTTTGTAAAAGCAAGATTTTAAGGTCTATCAAGAACGGACTGGTTAGAGATTATATACAAAATACTATGTGGCCATTTTTAAAGAAAGCAGATCTATACTTGTTGACCTGGAATAGTCAAAGAAAAAAAAGATGAAGAAAAAGAGCAGAATACTATGTTCCATTTTTAAAAGAGATGTTAATATACATATGCTTGATACATAATTTCAATTTTCAGCAGAATAGAAAATCAACTATTTGTGAATAGCTATTAGTTGTCTCTGGTGAGAGTAACTTTTCATTATAGAACCTTTTGTTCCTACATATACTTAATTAAAAATAAAAAAAGCCCACAAGTATATGTAGAAAAATATTTGAGTGTAATAAAATTAAAATTGATTAATTCTAAAATTTATATGGAATAGTCAGAGATCCCAAACAGCCAAAATAATTTTGAAAAGGAACAAAGCACGACTTACACATCCCAATTTCAAAACTTACAAAGTAACAATAATCAAGACAGTGTAGTACCGGCATGGACATAAGAATAGACATATAGATCAAAAATGAAATGGAAAAAAAGTATTAAAATACCATTAAAAATGTTTATATATTTATATACTAGTAAGTAATTAAAAAAATTGTAGTTTACCGTTAGATCAATACCACAGATGGATTTCTGTACAGGTATTAGAGAATAAGAAAACAGTTTTGGCAGCAACGTCAGTTTTATAAGAGCCTCTGGCTATTATAACGAAACACAGGAAGCAGGCCTTTCCATCCCCTCCAAGAAAACTGGTTTGAATGAGTTGCCAATATTACAAAAAGCATATTCTATGAATGGGAGAAAACACCAGAAAGTCTCCGAATACAATCAATGATAAAGTATTTATTGGTACTTTCCAGAAATTAAGTAGAGACAGGTGGTATGAGTGAAAGAGAAAAGTGTAGATAGGTATCTGGCCAGTATCCTTATTACTGGTAAGCAGTTTGCATTTCAATATTTGTTCTTAATAGGTAAAATAAGACTCTTCTTCATATCTATAGATTTTAAGCTGAAATTTCTAATTTTTTTTTTCCTATTTGGCACTCATTTTTGTCTCTGATTCCTGTAGTACTTTAAGGACTCAAAAGTAATTTTATTCCTTTGAGCTGGTGGGGGTAATGGAGGCAGACTTGGTGATGAGATGAGCAGGTTCCTGGTAAAAATTTCATTAATTTACCTCTTTTTCTTCTGCTCATTCTATAGCAGAGGGCATATCAAACAATGTATTTCTTATGAAACATAAATTAATATATATATTTAATTTAGTACTATGCCAGTATCAACTAATCTATTTCAGAAAAGGATACTAAAGTGAGACAGATTTAAAACTAACATTCTTATTGACAATTCCAAATAACAGGAAAGGTTGCATTAACTTATTTTTTAAAGTGAGGCTGAAAAGAGACAAATATTAAGAACAGAATTCAAATTTTTCTTTAAATTATTCTAGGACTCATAGCAATATAGACTTTGATATAAAATAAGATGAAGAACATGTATTAGAGAAATGAAGAGAATTCTCATCAAAGAAGATAGACTTACTATATTAGTCCACTAACTCTTATTAAAATGTTTTTATGAACTTTTATTTGCAGTA